CCGGCAAGAAGAAGATGGCTCCCCTCGAGCCTCAGCCCATCCGTCCCTCGCAGGGCCCGCTCAAGTCCACATGGCACAAGCCCGAGAACAAGTCGTCCTGGGGTTTCCACCACTGGATGATCCACCTCTTCGGCATCGACCCAATCCCACAGAATGCGACTGCGGTGCACCACGCCAAGGACGACCCCATGCCCGTCTGGAACAACTTCACCCACCACATTTGGATCGCCATGCGAATCCTTCCCGCTATCGGACTTCAGTACCTCTACATGCAGTGGGCCGGACGCAACTTCCACCCCATCGCCAACATCCTCTACTGGGGAACCTTCGTCTCCCTCTTTGGCAGCAACCTTCTCAACGTGCTGCGCTCCGTCGCCTCCAAGGTCGGCTATCTCCAGGCCGATGCTGCCCGTGACGGCGTGCCCGACGTGCGCGTTTCCCAGGTGCTCAACTCGCTTCTCATGACCGCCTTCTTCCGTCCCGCCGCGGCGACGCTTGTCATCTACAACCGCGACGAGCCCATGAAGCTCTCGCCCTGGCTGCCACTCATGATGCCGCTCTATTCGCTCGCCATCGACTTCTGGTTCTACTGGTACCACCGCATCATGCACGAGTCCGATGCGCTTTGGAAGTTCCACCGCACTCACCACACAGCCAAGCACCCCACACCCATCCTCTCTCTCTACGCCGATATGGAGCAGGAATGGTTCGACGTTGTCTTCGTCCCGTTGCTTGCCTACTTCACCATCAAGCCCATCGTTAGCATGAGCTACCACGACTGGATCTTCTGCTGGACGCACGTCATGTTCATCGAACTCACCGGCCACTCGGGCATCCGCGCTTTCGGAGGCCCGCCCGCCTTCGACCTCGTCAGTTGGCCCATGAGGAAGCTCGGTATGGAACTCACCATCGAGGACCACGACCTCCACCACTCCAGGGGCTGGAAGACCTCCGGCAACTACGGCAAGCAGACCCGCGTCTGGGATAAGCTCTTCGGAACCATCCTCCCTCGCCAGGAGTCGCTCGACGAACAGATCGACCACACGACCAAGATCTCGCTTCCCCAGTTCTAAAGCTATTTCCAAGTTTGTCTCGTCCCCACAATGTAGTTATACCACTTGCATCATCTCTCCTTTAATCGTGCAAATATTCGTCATCGCCCATACGCTGGAAGTGTAGATTTCGATTTTTGAAAGCAGACTTGTCGTAAAAGCGGCAGAGGTGGCCAATTTTGGAAGTAAGACCTTAGCGATAGACTTTGAGGTGAGGAAGTGGCATCGCAGTGACGAGGATCGGCTGAGACGTCAGCGATGTCGGGATGTTCCTGTCGTCCTTGCGATTGTTGCTGTTCCGGTCGTACCTAACAAGCTCTCTGGAACGCAGGCGAATCACCTCGAGCAAGGTCTGGACGAAAAAATTGGACGTCGAACCGGCGACTCCGATCGACGGGTGACTGCCAGCTGGACGCCAGGACGGCGTCAAGCTCGGAGGAAGTACTTGCGGAACTTTGAGCCGAAGCGGGAGTGTTGGAGACGAGCCATGCAGCGACGTCGTCAGCACTTCAGTCGCGCAGCCAAGGCGCCCTCGGTATTGGCCTTACGTTTAGATGGTGCTTGTTTTCGACGACTTCAAGTCCTTTGCTCAGTCAAAGAACTTCACTCATTCTCCATGTACCTTTCTCCTCGTCTGCCTACATTCGCGTCGCTGCTTTCACCAAGCCCGTTATCCACTTCAGCCCATACCACCTTTCAGAGTGTGGAATATCTTGCGATTGCATTCGTTGTCATCAGGTTGAGCGAGCGCATACGCACGCAGCTAGCTAAGGGTAGTAAGTCCATTCGGCCGTAGAGTGAATCTTGCGGCTGCTGGAACCGACGCTGAAGGTGAGCGGGCTGTTCTCGGGGATCTTCCAGCCCTGGTTGAGCGTCGACCAGACCGCAATGTCCTTATTCCTCAGCTCGAAAGTCACCTTTCGCGTCTCGCCAGGCTGGACGTTCTTGACCTTTTCAAAGCCACGCAGCGTCCTGATGGGCTGTGGGTTGTCCTTCGAATCGGCCGATGCGGGGAACGAGACATACAGCTGTACGACTTCCGACGCGGCGATGCTGCCAGTGTTGGTCACCTCGGTCTCGAGCGTGACGGCAATGTCGTACAGACCCGCGTTGCTGTTGATGAGCTTTTCCTTGGTTTGCTGCACCGACGTGCTGTCCGCCTTGGCGGTCTGTGCAACGCTCAGCGACTGGGCGTAGTTGAACTTGGCGTACGAAAGGCCGTGACCGAAAGCGAAGCGCGGGGTGATGTTGTGGTAGTCGAACCACTTGTAGTCGATGAGCAGCTTCTCGTCGAACGTCGCCTTGGGATCGGTCACGCGGTCGGTGACGATGGTGTTGGGCGGGTAGTCGTTCTCGTTCTTGGCAACTGTGAAAGGCAACTTTCCACTTGGGCTCTTCTCTCCCCACAGAACCTTGGGCAGCGAATTTCCGCCCTCCTGGCCGGGAAGGTAGGCAAATAGAACAGCAGTGACGTTCGGGTGGTCGATCCATGCCTCGACATCCACCTGACCGGGTGTGTGCAGAACGACGACCGTGTTGTTGTTGTTGCTCGCCACTGTCTTGATGAGCTCGTCGGCGTTGGCCCAGAGCGTGAGGTTCTGGCGGTCCTGATTCTCCGTAGCGTACGTGTTGGCAAAGACGAGCGCAACGTCGCTCGAGTTGGCGCGAGCCGTGGCGCCCTCCAAATCCCAATTGTCAAAGTGCAGGTTGACATCGGGACCTACAGCGCGCACGTACTCCTGGATCGCCGCGGCGGGCGAGATGACGTACGGAGGGAACGCCCAACCCGATCCACCGCCGATGGTCACGGTTCCGTTGAAGGCGTCGATGTTGCACTGGCCGTTCTGCCCACAGCTCGTGGCGCCGTACATGTTGTCGCCTGCATCCTGGCCAATCACCGCCACTGTCTGCAGCTCGTCGAGGCTATTAAGCGGCAAACCGCGGCCATCCGAATTGTTGTTCTTGACGAGCGTTACCGAGTCGACACCGATCTGGTGAATGATCTTGTGATGGTCTCGGCGCACGTTGTTCGTCGGACGTGTCAGATCGCGCACGTCGAACGAAGGCTGCGGGTAGCTTGAGTCCTGCATCTCCATCGCAGGTGCAAGGATACGCAGCACCATGTCGTCCAGACGAGCCTCGGGCACCGAGCCATTCTGAACGAGCTCGACGAGGCTTTGGCCGAAGAAGTTGCCGAACTTGCCGTTATACGCCGTGCCGGGCATCGAGACATCGAGACCGCCAAGTGCGGAGTCCTGGTTAGACCATGTTCCACCCCAATCGCTAATGACGGCTCCCTGGAAGTTGAGTTCCTCCTTGAGCAGCGTGTTCAAGCTGTAGCTGTCACTGCAGGCATGAGTTCCGTTGACCTCATTGTACGAGCACATGACCGAGCCTGTTCCAGCACGAACCGCCTCGGCGAAGGACCAGAGGTAGAGTTCGTGCGTCGTGCGGTCGTCGAGAACGCTGTCGATGGGGTCTTGTTCGAGGACAGGGAAGACCTCGTACGGCTCGGAGAGGTTGTATGGGTTACGGTAGGTCTCCTGCTCGTAGGCGATGTAGTGCTTTGCGCAAGTCACCACACCTTTCGACTGAGCATGCTTGACGGTGAGGTACGAGGCGACGCCCGAGAGGTACTCGTCTGGGCTCCATCCTTCCCAGTTCCGTCCGCCACGCGGAGCACGTCCCAGCGGACCGCCGGTCACGGGTCCGAGCCAGATGTTGACGCCCTTGTCGCGGAACTCCTCAGCAAGTGCCTCGGCACGCTGTGCCATCAGGTCTCGGTCCCATGTCGCAGCGGTGGTGACGCCGGCGGGGAACTGCGAGACACGACGCGCAGGACGCACACCGGCGGGACCGTCCTGCAGACAGAGAGCCTCGAGGCCGACACGCGGAGCGGTGCCTGTGAAGCCGACGCACTTGCCCGTGTAGCCAGTGGTGATGTTGACCTTCTCCTCGACGGTCATCTGGTCGAGCAGCGACTTGGCCTTGGCGAATCCGTTGGACCACACGCCACCGTCGGCGTACGGTCCAGTGTACGAGTGCGCGCCGTTGTCGCGCGCAAACACATCGCGAGTGTAGTCCAGGTGTGAAGGGGCAGCAGAGCCGCCCAGGGCTCCGAGTGCGAGCGCGGCAGCCACCACAGCAGGCTTGAGTCCGATCATGCCTGCAGATTTGTCTCTCGGGTCTTGAAAAGGGTTCTGATGTAGGGCCGACAGGATGGTGTCGTGGCCGGAGCTGTCTTTATACCCGCATTAGCGCTGAGCTCGGCACTGCCTGCTGACAAAGGGGCGAAGGGGGCAAAGGCAGAGTCGCCGGTTGCATGGTGCTTCTCAATGCGGGGCTCTGCGGGGCAGGCGGGGGTGGAGGTGGGGCGCTACAACACCCGTGTGGGGCCATCGGTCATTTCGGCTGCGTCTCATTCGGTGGTCGGTCAAATCGTGTTGCTCGCTTCAAAGCTCCAAGTTTGCCCCCACGCTCGGTTAGGGCGGAATGAGAAGGCCGAGCGCCTTCTGAGAAGCGAAGTGCAGGATCGAGCCCTTCGCAACCGCTTTGCCCCGACGGTTCCAACCTGCGATTTGCGACGTGACGTCGTCCAACTCCGCCAAATGCTCCTACATGCCGAGGCGGAAGCGGAATTCCATCCAATCGGCCGCCGCCGGCTAATTCCTCCACTGCTTGACCGCGCGGTCCAACCCTCGGTCAACTTAAGCGAGGCTGGCTGAACTCTTGCACCGGGCCTTCTTTCTCGCGCAGTCCCCTTGCGTCTTCTCCACGCCCGCGTGCGAGATCCGCTGCACCCCACACACTGCGCGCTGCAAGCCCACAAACACTCGCGAATCGGCCACACGGCGCCCACGTTGATCACGCTCATGACGGGCGGGCCACAGAAGATGGTCGGTGCTTTCCCCCAATGCAGAGATCAGATCGCAATGTCACGCTTGGTGTCTAGTTGTCGTCGCTACCTTGCAACTTGGCGATCTCCCTTGCCAAGTAGTCCAGCTGGGACACGAGCTGCACGAGTCCTTGGCCAACCAGTGCGTGCTTCGCACCAACGCCCAGGACTTGGTCAAGAGCGCGCTTCAGATCAACCTGCGCTCCTCGCAACGATGGCGTTGGCAGCCCACCGAACTGCAAGAGCGCATCCGGCAACCTCTTTTGGTGATCTTTGCCGGCCTTGCTCTCGTCGTCCTGGCCGATCTTGCGCGCCGTGGAATTGGCCGACTGAGTGCCAAGCGAGGAGCTCGGCAAGCTCACGCGTCCTTCTTTGCCATCCGCCGCATCTTGCCCAGCCGGCGACACCGGTCCGGCCCTTCTGCGCAATCCCGATGCCGCGTTTTCCTGTTTCGTCGCCGTACCACGACCCTCTTTCTCGTCCGTTAGCCCCGACAGGACAGCTTCTGCTCCGTCTTGTGCCTCGGATAGATGCGAGTAGTCAGGCACGAATCTTTCTGCCAAGATTCGCTTCGGTTCTGGTTCCGCGCTGGTCGCAGCACCGGTCAATTTCGATGGGCCGGGTTCCACATGCGCGCGGATCTCGCCGAGCAGCCGTGAGTCATACGAGTTGCTGCTCAACCGAGACGCACCGTACTCCATCTTGGCCCGGCTCAACTTGAGGTAGCCGCGGCTGAAAGATTCGCAGCTGGCGCTCCGTGCTTGTTGATATCGATCAAGCACGTCGAGATATTGTCCGATGAGCGTGTCCAGCCTGTCTCCCGGCGTGCTAGTGCTTGGCTGCGCCGCATCGCTTTGCGAGTCAGGTTCCCTCTCGGCCGGGTTTTCTGCCGCTGCGTCTTGCTGAGAAGAAGCAAGCGAGGCGGGAAGAGCAAGATGGTGGATGGGCAGACGCTCCGAGTCCGAGCGAGCTGCCAGCTCGTACGCCTCTGCTTGCCGGCCGGTGCCCAATTTGGAACTCGAGCTGCCCTCGGCGCCGTCTTGATCGTCGAGCATGCCGAGCGTCTCATCGGAATCCTTGCCTCCTGCGCGAGACAAGCGGTCGTTGCTGCGCAAGCTGCAACCACGCCTAGACCGCCACTGGCAAATGGCGAGCAGCGCACACAGCGCGTTGAACGCATCGTACGTTCGGTAGGTGTACCTGATGCCCCACACCAGCGCATACCAGCCAACGACGCCAAAGCCCGCTGCGACCGCTTTCGCTTCGAGCCCGCTTCGTGGCGGCTCGAGCCTCCGTCCTCCAGCCATGAGCCACACCAGCACGACCACGGGCGCGACGTCGAGCACGTTGTGGTCCATCCATGCCGCCGTCGTCTTCGGCGTGGTGATCCCGACCGATGCCAGGTTGCGTACCCATGTGACAAGGAAGCTCGCTTTCTGAGGAAGCAGCAGTAAGAGAACCAAAAAGATGGCCAGGTGCTGGTGCAAGCGCGTCTCCTGTGCTCTCGGCGAAGCCGTCGTCACCGAAGCTGCTTTTGGAATACTTTGCAGCTCGAGTTGTGCACGGAGCGTGTTGAGCATCTGCAGCAGAAAGATGCACAGGAAGACGAATTGGTGTGGCACAAAAAGAACGACCGAGAGCAACAGCAGTGCCAGCCCTGCGATGGAGCGTGGATTCCAGCGCAGCGGGTCTGCCCCAGAAGCAGTCGAGCCGACCCAGTCCAGTTTGCCGCCGAGACCACACCTGCGCACGACGGCAGCTGTGAAGCGGAACCCGACTTGGACGACAGCTACAATGACGAGTAGTACCGCGTACGAGACCGCCAGGAAGCACGGCACGAGGCCAGCCGAGGAAGAGTGATCGCTCAGACCTAGGACCATGCCGAGAAGCGACGACGATGGCCCGTGAGATTGCGTGTCCGGCAGCGCCCTGTACAGCGCGAGGCGGATGCTGTCGACCAACAGCAGACCGGCACTCAGACATGCCAACATGCCAAGCAGCGGGTCGATCCTGTGTCCCAGCAAGGGCGTTCGGAACGCCGGCTTCATGATCGAATGCAGAGGGCTAGGGAAGACGTCTATGTCCGACTTGGCAGCCCACGCGAGCCACGAGAGCCCCACGCAGACGACCAAGAGTCCGAGCGGCCAGGCTGCCAAGAAGAAGCGGTAGCGCAAAAGGACGAGCCCCGCGGACGCCTTCCAATCGATCGAGATGCGGATCGACTCGATGGGCGACTGACAGTCGAGCTGCTTGCCGGGCACGGGCAGGAGAGTGGCCGTATCCGACCACAGCTGCACCTTGACCTCGTCGACGCTCTCTCTCGCCGGAGGCATGAAGGGCGCGTTGCCATGGAGCGACAGAGGGAACGTGATCGCCTCGCCCTTGTACGTCCTGTTGCGGATCGAGCGAACGAGCTGAGGCGAGGCGAGCTGGGGGTACCAGCGCGAATCGCCCGTGGCTCGATTCGAGACGTGCAAAAAGGGCGAGAAGGACGGATCCGTCGAGTACTGTACCTCGTCGTTTGTGACGAGCGTGTAACGCGCGAGATTCTCTATGAGGCACTGGCTGAGCACCACCTCGATACGTCTGGCGAGCAGAGAAGAGCCGACGCCTTTGAGGCTCCATTCAGTTGCGATTGGGGTTGCGCCAACTGTGGCCAATCCGTAATCCTGATGATGCTGTTGCGTAGCGGTGTTCTGAGCCGGAGTCAGGATGTGGGAAGGGCCGTGCTTTTCGACTCGGCCGCTGTCTTGACGCATCCAGCCTGCACGGATGAAGCTCTTGAGGCCACGCGCATGAACGAAAGAGCCCGAGACCGCCTTGCGTTCGACGCGGATAAAGTCGACTCGGCGCCTCTTGAGCACCACGGCATCGAGTCGCAGTCGCTGGAACGCCAGGCCGGGCACGTGGTACGCCTCTTCAGCATCTGGGAACGGCTTGCTCTCAGCAGCGTTGGCGGCTGCCGGAGCATCCGGACTCTGGCTCAGAATGTCGGTACGCGGGAGGAGGCTGGGCGGGATGAGCTCCCACTGCCACGGCATGACGAGCTGGCACGAGATCTTCCTTCCAGCGATGGGGTCGGACGAGTCCGGGTCGCTCGTGCATGTCTGCACGACAATCTCGACGGGCTGTGGGACGGGAGCACCCAAGCCCGAAGATGGATTCCAGCCCACGCACAGATTGGTGATGAGCTCAAAGGCATGCACGTCGGTGTCGCCCTCGCCCAGTCTGGCGGGTACGCGGTAGACGAAGCTATCTTCGCCGATCAGCAGTGGGGAGTCAACGCCAGACGCGGGCCTGTTGAACGTTGGCGTTTCTCCCTCGACGACGAAAGATTCGAGCTCTTCGTCGTAGCTTGAATCCTTTGACGGTATGAGCTCGAGAGGTCCGATGTCGCCGTTGCCGGCATCCGAGGAGTCGAACAGGCTGAGTGCTCGCCTCCAAAGCTCGCGCCTTCTGCGCAAAAAGCTGGCCTTGCCTGTGATGCCTCCGGCGGAGCGATCCTGGGCAATGCGACCAAAAGCCATCATGTCGAGGAGGAATCCTCGTGCGATCTTTTCGCGGAGCTGATCGCACCACATGACTGCCAGATGGTCGACGGAGGACCAAAGGGAAGGCAGCGAGGTGGTGAAGGTTGAGATGCGCGAAGGAGGCACCGCTTCGCCAATACGCGCCAGTGCAAGCGAAGACGGGTCCGAGGGGAGCTGTGTATCCAAAATGCCGCCTGCCACCGAGACGAGCAAGGGCGGTACCGAGGCTGGCGAGCCTGATGGTGCTGCAGGCGATGGTCGGTTGATGAGTGAGTAGACATATTCGGTGCTCCTGTCAAAGGGCACTGGTGGGTAGGCGTGAGGCGTGCTGAGAGTCACGATGGTGTCGATGCTACCCTGTGGATAGTTTGGCATGCGGGCAGCAAGGCGAGCAGCGATTCCTCCCATGCTATGTGCCAGGATGGGGACGGTGGTATTGCGCTCGCCTGCGGCAAAGTTGCGGGTGGCAGGCGATGCGTATCGGTTGGAAAGGTAGGCGATAACCTCGTTGATGAACGTTGCCTGCTCTATCAAGGTGGATCCGCTGAAGGCTGAAAAGTCCTCGTTGAAATCGAGCGTGTACCAGTCGGTGTGAGCCACGCCGGCGGGCGCGTCCTTCCACTCGTCTCGGAGCTGACCACCGCTGTTCTGCTTGTAGAACTGCCTTGCCGCGCTGGAGGAGACACTGCGGACCTGACCATACGAGCCCGCGTTACCGGGCACGAAGAGGGCGGGACTACCGGACGGCAGATCCATGGGGTCAAAGTCGCGCTCGCGATAGAGGTAGAGACGATACTTGCGCCACAAGCCCGAGGGCGAGAAGGATTCGAGGTCGGCTGTATGGTCGATGTAGGCCGGACGCATGCGTGACATGCGACATTGTTGAGAGACGGCAAGCTGCTGTGGCAGACGGACGAAGGAGTCGACCGAGTAGGTGATTAGTATCAACGATATCGCCAGCAGCAGCCAGGGCAGCCAGAGCCGACGCGAAGGCCGCGACGAGGAGCGATCCGCCGCTGATATCGTCGCCATCGTTCGATTTGTCTGCGACGCAAAGCGACGTGGGGATGCCCTCTTGCTGCTCCTGCTGGTCGGTGTGATCAGAGACGAATGCCCTCTATCGGCTCTTCCGACAACATGTGCTGCGAACCGAGGGAGTGCATCCGATCCTTACTGAATATACCAGCTGCCACGTGACTCGCGCACAGACACACCCTCGCGCGCCGTATTCAGAAATCGAGAATGACGAGTGGCCGGTGCTTGCACGTCTGCGAGCCCAAGGAAGAGATGGTCTCGGGTTGAAGGATAGCTCTCAGCAAGCTCGGTGTTGGTCTTGCGAATCGACCGTGCTTCTCCACCCACCTCAGCAGCCACGCGCCGTTGTCCAAACCTCGGAACTCGGCTTGTGGAGCGGCAGGACCCTGGCCCGCACATTTTTGCTCTGAATTTTTTGCGGAACTGCCGCGGACAGCCAGCCTCGAGCTGTGCTTGAGATTCGAAGTGCTGCCGCCCAGCTGGTTTCTTCTGTGCCACCCACCACCTCGCCCGATACCAGGCTCCACACCAACATGCCGCTCAACACCACCACATTCCTGGTCTCACAGGGTTGGGAGGGTGTCGGCGTGCCACTCGATGGCAAGGCCGGTCGTGGCCTCAAGAAGCCTCTCGCCATCACCCAGAAGAAGACCCTCTCTGGTATCGGCAAAGACCGCGATCGCGCCGACGACTGGTGGAACAGCATCTTCACGGCAGGTGCAAAGAGCCTCTCAATCGGTCCGTCACCCGCCTCATCAGGCGCATCCACCCCCGTATCTGCTTCAAACGGCCAGAAATCCTCCAGCTCCTGGAACATGGGTGAGCGCTCGGCTGCATCTGCATCCATGTCGCTCTCCTCCCTCGCCAAGCGCGAACACGCCCGGAAAACGCTCATGAGCAACTTTGTTCGTGGCAAACCCATCGTCCCTGCTGTCGAAGAGACTCTGCCGCTCAAGGCCGCTCCTTCATCCCCGCCAACTTTGAAGGCAGACGACACTCCCGCTGCTTCCGACGTCGAGGTCGATGCGGCTCTCAACGTGGTTTCCCCTTCCTCATCTTCTGCCTCTGCTTCATCTGTGCCATTGAGCAAGGAAGAAAAGGCGATGAAAAAGCGGCAGAAGAAAGACGACGAGGCTCTGCAGAAGAAGCTCGCCAAGAAGGCTCTGCGAAAGAAGCTCAAGGAGTCACAGGGATTGGCACCATCCTCAACGCCGGCGTCCGAATCTTCGGCAGAACCCGTCGTGACCTCTAAAGACAAGAAGAGCAAGAAGAGCAAGGATGCCAAGGAGAAGCCAGGCGATCGAGAAGGGAAGAAGGAAAAGAAGACGAAGACCGAATCATCGGCGATCAGAGATCCGGAGACACACGATGATGACGACCAGAAGGATCTGGGTTCATCGAAGAAGCGTAAGCGAGATGGCGAGGCAGAAGCCATTAGCGACAAGAAAGCCAAGACGAAGAAGCTCAAAGACGAGAAGAGCGATGTGAAGAAAGAGAAGGCCGAAAAGAAGGAAAAGAAGATCAAGAAGGAAAAGTCGAAGAAGGACGGAGAGGCGAAGGCGGAGAAGAAGGAAAAGAAGGAGAAGAAGAAGAAGAGGAAAGAGGTGCAAGAGTGAGCCGCATTTGTGCTGACCAAGAGTGCCGGCGCCATCTCGATGCCATATACCCATGCCCAAATGGCCATCAATCAAACGCACATTCGGACAATCTAGCATGCGCTGGCCGAAGCAGCGGCAACTTGTGGTAGCTGATGAGTCTACATACAGTCATTACTTTGTACGATACCACCGCCGCAAATGGACGTCTTTTGGCTCAAGACTACACCATCGGCAAGCGATGGAAGTAGTCCATCTCGCCTTCGAAGCTCAGCAGGAGCGATTCGTCGATATTCACCTCGCGCGCATTCTGCCGGATGCGGAGGTTGCGATCGAACAGCAGGTTTCGCAGCATCTGCTCTTGTTCCTTGGGCGTGCCCTGGCTGAACTCGCTCCGAATCTGAGCTCGTGCCGTGCTCGGCAAGGGCAACATCAACCCGGCAGTCCGCTGAAAGCGAATTTTGAGCGCTTCCAGATACGCGACACTCGTGTCGGTCAGCTGAAGTCGTCCTCGCCTACTAAGCAGCGAGTCGATGACGCGGATGGCGCTCCCAAATCGCGCGCCCCTGTCGGTGTCAAAGTAGGGCGCTAGACGGACTTGATCCGAGAGGAAAGCGTGATCGAAAGGAATGCGAGGATGGTTGGCTCGGTAGGCTACCCAGCCGCCGCGCCGAACCGCCTTGAGGTTTTGGGGAACTCGGTCGTGCAGCAGAAGCATAGCCTCGGAAAGACGCCAAGTTGCAATAGGTCGTGCGGCTACGTCCTGCAGGTGCATGCTAATGCCACTGAGTGCCGATCGCATCTCCTCATCCGTGAGCGGCTGCTCCTGGATGGCACGCTTCTCGATCAAATTGGCCCTCTCCTTGTCGGCATAGGCTCCGTGTTCCTCGACATGATCACGCGGCACTAGCCTTCGCACTCCGCGTGCTGCAGTGGACGCGGGATTGTCCACAATCTCCTCGATCTCCTTCTCCAGATGGTTGACAAAGCGCATGTCCTGCAGGATCCGCCAAAGGTTTTCCCTCGCCGAGCCGATGCGGTGAAGCATGCGCTCCGAGCCGTCGTTCATTGAACCGAGGGCAGCTCGAACGGCTCGTACGTTCCCTACGTTCTCTTCTATGATTCGAGCGTGGCGCAGCATCTCGTTGGCTTGCTCCTCGGCGCTTGGCGTCAAGAGTCGCTCGGTGTCTTGAAAACGGACAAACAGCGCCTCGAGATACGCCACACGCACAGGGTCGAGGCGCAACTGGCTGCGATGCTCGATCAGATACCTGAGAATGGGCGTCATGTGCCGGAACCTGTCGCGACCCACGGACATGTATGTCTCCTTCACGATAGCATTATGGTCATGGAAGTTCAGAGCAGTGCCGGTGATCGCGACAGTTTGCCGGTAGTGCTCGTACATGCTGGCGAGTTGCCACCGGCGTCGTTCGTTGCCACGCATGGGAGACAGGAGATCGATGTTCCTTCGCCAAAACTCGCCAATAGGAATGGCGCCCGGATCGGTCGGTTCCAAAGCGTTGCGATGGAGCGCCTCCTCCATGGTGATCTCTCGCATCGGCCACCTCTGGCCGCCAAGATGTTCTCGCACATTATTGGTCTGGCGCTTGATCAACATCTTGCGGCTTCCCGTATTCGATTCCGAGCCAAGCGCTTCTTCCTCTGCCTCCTGCTCGTCGAACGAGGTCCAGGTGTCTCTGCGCTGGAGCGTCCGACCCTCCTGATGCGCAGCCTGTTCGTCGGAAACACCGCGCGGATGAAGTTGTAGCAAAGTGTTGAGCTGGCGAGAAGGAGCGAAAGGGGTGGAGATGACCCTGTCAAGCTCGTCCTCGAGGTGTCCAAGGAGTGCAAAGTTGACCGCCAACGGAGGCGTGGTTCTCGACACAATCATCTGGCGAGTATTCATACGACGAGCCAGATATTCTATGTGTGCAGCCATCCTGTCGAAGTACGCCGAATCATACACGACCGGAGGAGCTGGAGTCCTCGTCACCGCTCTGTCCCCTATCTCCGTCGCTGTCGGCGTCAAGATCTGCTCGGAGACGTGGAACCGACGACGCAAAGCCTCGAGGTATTGGATCCGAGTTTGATCAAGCCTGAAAGCCAGTGCGTTGTCGATCACAGTTTCAAGCACGCTCTGCATCTGTCGAAGCCGATTGCGGCCCTCGACCTCAAACAGCCGGGAGACTATTGCATCCGCAGATAGGCCGTCTCGGGGGAGCCCACGGGCAGGAAAGTTTCGCTGGTACGGCCTGTACGCAGCGGCGAGTTGCTGCACAGCAGGGGTTGCGAGCGAGTTGCGCGGGAAGATGTTGTGATCGCCTGCCAGGAAAGTGGCGATACGCAGCGTGTCGCCTGGTGACCAGACCCCGTATTCACGACTAGCTCCTCCAGCAGCATCCGGCACCTCGGCATCGATGGCTCGCTTCGAAAGGGAGAGGCGTGAGTTCAGCGAATTTGAGAGCAGCTCAGGCTCGGCTGCGGAGGTGCCACCACTGCGGGCGATAGGCTGCGCGGCCACGCAAGTGCCGAGCACAAATATGCCCAACAAGGCGCGAAAGGTGACCATGATCGTGATGCTGAACCGCTTGTCAGATGTCGGGCGGACTCGAGGATGTTGATGCCGATGATGGGTGAAGGTAAGTCTTTTCGCCCTTATAATTGCCGAGCGAGGGCCATACACATCAAAGACACCGCAGGAACTCCTCCATCGCTCACCAGTGGGTTATCGTTACGTGAAGGGGCGTGGCGCATGTAAAAAGCGTGTATCGATGGACAATGCAATTACTTTGTGGGTGGAAACCATCCGTCTCATCTGGGCTAGTCTTCAACCCACTATGACAATTCTGACGGTGTATCATATGTCCGGTATCCACTTACGGTTGTGGGGCCATCGCATCGGTGTAACGTAGGCTTAGACCTGTATCATGCGGTCGTGCAACTCGCGGTACGTTTCACTGATGCATCGTCCCTTTCAATACGGTATAATACTTGTTGATCAGAGAGGGTAATCCGCGGTGGTGACCACGAGCAGGCCAGCAACACACCCGAAGCGCCAGGAGATCGCCAATAGGTGTCATGTGGTGTGTGAGATGGCCAGAGCCAGAGCGAGCGACTGCGTAAACAGTACTCCGAAGGTCTCCAACCGTGCTCAATGATCTGGCCAGCTCATGTCGGCCCCTCCCGGAGTGGGACGGGTGCAGGTAATCCTGCGCACTCCTCATAGTGAAAGTGCCAAGCGGAGCGATCGGGTTGAATTCCACTTTCACTCGAACCTCGAATGATTTGAGCACGGTATCACATCAGCCGCTGATCTGTTACAGTGTTATACTGTAGCCCACGCCTTGCGTTGAGAGCCCACGACCTTGAATGGTGCAGCTGCAGGTGATGCAAATGAGACGCATGTGATCAGAAAGCGTGGGAAAAAGATCGAGCTTCACTGATCACCGTTCGGTCCCACGATGCAGGATTCGATGCTCGATGGATGCAGATGAAGTCAAAGACAGGCTGATCTGTCTCCGAGATGCGATTGTCTGTGTAAACCATCGTTTCCAGCGGGTGTATCCCTGAAGCTGTCCTCGTGATCAGCACTGCAACGGGGCCCATCGACGCCGAGAATGCAAAAACGAAAGTCGAGATTCCTGTTAATGACGGCTCAGCGGCTGAGGCGGTGCACCGGCTCAGAAGATCCCTTAGCGAGCGCCGTGACACCATAAATGGCGTGGATGTTCGATCGAGGCCAAGCGGTCGACCTTACGCACTCCGAAAGCAAGCACAATCTCTCACAATGCGCTTTGGTCTGTTCATCGTACTCGTCACGTCAGCGACGGTCTCTTTGTGCAGAGCTACGTCACTGCGGGTTTTGATGAATGCCAAAGGACACAGCCCTGCTCCGTCAAGCGCACATGATGATGGGGCTCGGCGTGCAGAAGATGCAAGTCAGATCAATCGGAATGTCCTGGAACCCACGGGCAGGGGAAAGCAAATCGTCAGCGTAATGCAGCAGCCTCCACAGACACCAATCACGTTTGGACCTACGGCCGTTCCGAATCCACGCTTTCCGGACTGGTGGTCACCGTATCGTGCCAAATACGCACCGTTCCCCTTTCCCGTCGTGATGAAGAGGATCAAGGTGGACAGATCCACGGGCTACACGGCATTTGAAACACCTCTCACTAGAGGCAGAATCAGGCTGTACACAAAGCGAGTGCAGGCACTCGATGTAATCAGGAAGTAAGTAGGACCAGGTTTGAGATTCCTTGCATCGTCAAAGTACTGACATCAATATTGTGGGGTGCTGCGGACTTCGATCATCGGGACAAACAAGTCGAGTGCTGCGCGACTATGGTGAATTCTTGCATCACGGAGAAGTACAGCGCTTGACCCAACCTTTTCACCCATGGGCCAACGAAGATCTCGAGAACATCATGGAGAGACTGGAAGAGTACACATCTCTCATCGATGCCGAGAAGATGCTTGTGAACGAGGTCGAAGATATTATCGACCGCGTGGCGACTCGCACGGTTCGGAATGCCCAATTCTTATGGGCACTGTAGCATGATCGTAGCATTGCGCTTTCGTTCTAGGTAGAGGCTTACCGTCCAGATGTCGATACGACTCAGCCTTTGTGCATCACGCATGTATTGTTCCGGCCTCTCTATCACGCTCTGGTCCCTTTCTGAGGCCCCGCCTTAACTTCGCACACATGTTGGGAAGTGAAAACATACGCGGCTTTGATGAATGGCATCCTTGATGCTGTAGTACCGCATGTACGCAGACTAAGAAGCGCAACATGTCAACATGTTACATGCCGGAACTTTCGGCCAAGCTATCTTGATGTCGATTCTCGCCACGAAATTGGGGCAGCGAAAGCAGGGAATGAATGCTGAAGAGGCAAGAAGAGTGAAGTCTGCATGCACGTGCGCTGCAGCCTTTGCCATGTATCTCGTGTATCCTGGTGCATGAGAAGCGTGTGCAAAGCGTAGGCGTGTTCCTGAGCGGGTGGGCGGAAGCCAGGCGGCGCTCTGCAGCATTCTGTGGGCCGCCCACCTTAACCCCGCTCGATCAGTCATGCAGCTCATTGTGGGCCGAAAAGCGAGGGCAAGCACATCACCACGGGGGAGCGGGACTGTCGGTGTTGGCGAGCGGGACCATCCCTGTGGGGGAGCGGGATCGTCCCCGTCACCGCTTTGTGGAACCGTTGCCGCACGTTTCCGGTCCTCGATGGCTTCTTGAAGCCGCCGACTTGTTGGCGAGACTTGAGAGTCTAGATGTCAAAGTGGGGAATCGCTCCGAGCCGAGCCTCATATCGAAACCGCTGCCCTTGAGGCGATGAACCTTTCGGCAAATGCCTCGCTGTAACGAGGCGGTTGTGGTCTCAAGGCACCATTATGGTACCCCTTGCACAGCCACCTCTCTATTGGCTGTCTTTGTGCGTCTTATCGATTTGAAGATTGTAGTAACACAGCCTGGCAGACGCGTCACCTCCGACGGCTTTGGACTGTATCTACTCGTGTGCGAAGTCGACGGACTGCAGCTTGCTTAAATAAAGAGGCTCGACTCGACCAGGGCGAGAGACATGCTCCAAGCAACGAGGTATTTGGTTCTGCTACACGCCAAGATGAAGCTCCTATCCATCGTATCTCTCACTGCGCTCTCGCTGGCTGTTGCTGTGCCGAGCACTGGAGCTGCTCCTGTGCCAAACGTGCCTTGGAACCCGGAAAGCAGGGGCAACCAAGTAGCTGCATGGTGGGACTCCTACTTGAGCTCGGCAGCCTCGAGGCAGTCGCTGGGCCCTGAGGACATCTGGAGATCGAGCCGCGACGAGCTCTCGCAGCATCTAGATGCCTTCCATCAGCGTCTGAATCAGCTCGATTACCTGAAAAGGTCAGTGACATGTCGTCGGCGCTCAAAATGCATTGGTTGTGGCTGCTGACAATCTGTCTGACTCTCATTGATATCGCCCAGATGGGTGCTCAGCAACAAGATGACGCGATCCGCGCTGACGACCGAGCAGCGCAATACCCTTGCGAAGCCTTTTATGCCTTGGAAGGGCAAGACGCTGTCCAACGTGTACGCGAACCGCCGTCAGTTGGCCGACTGGCTGCGTGAGGAGGGATCACTTGTAACCCGTGTAGAGCTAGCTCTGCACGACATAGCGACTTTCCTTCCAGACGTGTCGCCTCCACGTTAGCCGACGAGATGCAGCCAGCATCTTGACTGGTTTCGCCTCGTGTCAACTTAATACAGTACTCTACGCGATGATTTCGCGACGTCCTTTCTGCTTGCTTTCATGATCACGCTCTTGGTCATCGAGCGTCGCAGATGGCAAAGCGCGAGCTTCGTACGGTAGTGCCGATCTCGGTTTGCTACCGAAGAAAGGCTCAGCGGATGAGGTCTTTGTGACATACTATGCGGAGTTCGAGCCTTGGATACCCAACCTCGCTTCGTCGCTCTGTGGTGGGAATCCAACTCAAACCACTTGAAATGAAGGATATGTGATAGGACCACCACCTATCGAGACGCGAAAGCCGAGACTCGGTGGCGGTACTCTGTTGGGCGCAGCCTAGGCGCTGAAAGGCTGAGCTACTCTGAACGTCGAAGCTATAAAGTCTCGGCAGCGGAGGTCGTACTTTGCGGTGAGAGACCAACTCAGCCTAGGCACAATGCGGATCAGTGTGCTTGCAGCTCTGCTGGCAGTGGCTATGCTCCCGCTGCTCCCTCCTGCTCTCTGCACCAGCGACTCGGAGGACGAGTCCGAAGGGTTGGATTTATCGCTTCGACTCGGACAACGTCTGGAGCATCATGATGCTGCCTCGCTTGACAGTCCTGCGACCTTAGCATCAGGCTCTTCTCATTCTGGGAGGGGTTCTACGCTGCACGAGCTGACGCAGCTGGGACATGTTCCCGCGCCGCCCTCTTTGTACGAATCTCAAATGCTTAATCGGATGCAGCAAGCCGCGGCACCCAGCGAGGCGAGCTCCAGCATGTCTGGCTTTCCGAGACAGGACGCTGACCGCCGCATAGAGTACGATATCGCTCCGATGAGCTGGAAAAGGTACGCTGACAGGTATCTCGGCAAGCCAGTTCCTCCTTTCATTGTCGGCGGCGAATTTCACCCGCAACATGCAATCGCCTTCCAACAGCGAATCCTCAGCCTCAACACAGCGAAGAAGTGAGTGCACGTCCTCTGTCGACAGCTGACGACTTCAGTGCTGACACAGACATTCTGGCATTGTTGAAGGCAGATCGTACGAACATACAGGGCCTTGTACAAGACTGAGCATCGTGCAATGCCACGAGTGCGATTCAGCAACTGGTCAAAACTTGCGCAGCAGCTTTCCCCTAGGGGCGCTAGCATCATATTGACGTCACGTATACGAGCGCTTGCCGATGATGACATTGCTCGTATGAGGCGCATCGAGGAAACTCTTCGAGGCATCATTCAATGACTGCCTGCTCCAGTTCGAGAAACGCGCACCTCTGGAGCTCGGCGTTGCCCTTAATCGTACTGTACTGTAGTGGTCATGTCAATGCCGACTCCGGTCCGAAATGAGATCTGTCTGTGCCGCTCTTCAACTTGGACTCGACGGTAGGTCACAGCACAGCTATAAGCCACGGCGTAGAGCGAGCCTCGAATCTTTACATGTTGCCGCAACGCCCTAAATTAAGCAATGTCACCGCATGAGTGTGAGTCGTGCGAAAGTGTACTGCACAGTACTGTTGTAGTGAAGCAAGGTTATGATGGCGTTCATCTGACGATGCGACTTTGCGGGCTACGCGTATGAAGTGTGCGCCACTTGATTGAATATGCGGCATCAAACGACCATACCGAGATGCTTCCGGTGTACAGTATGTACGGTGTCTCACGACACTATCGATGAACTTAATGAAGAACGGATCAGGGCTTTCAGCAGCTTACATCTTGTCTCCGTCCTTTGGATGGGATGAAGCAACCTGGCGGAAGGTCCGCAGGCTCTGCCCGGTCTGAAGGGCAAGACCAGCTCGCTTAGCATACTCATCCGCATAAATACCGGGACGAGGAGCCATTCTGCGAGGTCTGAGCCGCAAAAGCTTCTTATGATGCGTCTTGCAGTACTGTCATTCCTGCTAGCGATCTCGTTGTGCGCGTCTGCTCCCACTGGTGGCAATGTCGATCTGACGCTGCGGCTGGGACCCGCTTCGACTCCTCAAGCTGCAAGCGATGGCTCGACCCCGACGGATCTGACGCTGCGGCTGGGACCGGCTTATACTCCTGACTCTCCCGGTACAAGCGATAGCTCGACCTCGTCGGGTGAATACGTGGCCGAGCACCCCGTACTAGCGCTGAGGGATGGACAGCTGCCGAAAGATCCCACGTTCATTCCCGCTGAAGGCTCTATCAGAGCCGCAGTCCAGGACCTTCGTGGTGCTTCCTCGCGCAGGCTGTTCCCGTTTATCCCACGATTACGAAAAGTCGATCCCGGGAACCTGGTGGGGCCCGACGTAAGGGCACGTCGACTCTGGGAATATTACACTCGCTATCACCTCAATACCCCCGTGCCCGCGGTAATCCAGGATGGAAGATTCCATGCCCAAGAAGCTCTATTGCTCCAACGTCGTATCGAAAGCCTTGTTCGAGCCAAGACGTAAGTGCTTGCTCGCCTTGCGCAAGGGAGAAAAGCTGAAGCTGATCCTTACCTTTCTTTGGGGGCTCGCTCCTCTACAGTCTCTTTATCAAATTGAATCGAGGAAGATCATTCAGCAAATCCGAGATGGGAGTGCTCACCAGGCGATTCTTGAACTGGCGCAAGGTCACGAAGAATGTTGCATCTAGTCGCGCCAGCGTATTTGCACCGAGCAACCTGCGAGCAAAGGTCGCCATCGACATCCAGACGTTGCAGCGTGACGAAGAGCTCCTTCGCCGGATCGCCCATTAGGCTCTCCACTGCGGCTCAGGTGCACATAAACGCAATCTTGTCTCTCTTTTCTCTCGCTATGTAGACTTCGTGCATATCAAGCCATCGCCAAGCAAATCGAAAGAGCCTCGTTACCGAAGCCGATCAGAGAGGTATCGAGTAATCGATGCACACGTCGAAGACGGTGGTTCGCACGAGCCGTATCGACCGCCGTGAGCGCTCTTGCACCTTTCCGCCGGCTGTGTGAACGCCACCTTTCTTCATCATCGCACTCGTTCCCACATCGCCTCGTAGGACAACCGTTTTCAAGAAAGAGCCATTTTCATGTTTTCAAAAGACGAGCGTGGGTGTGGCCCACAAACGAACGAGGCTCATAATGGTCTGACGCTGGATTTGCGAGAGGACCAGTCCTTGCGTCACTTTAAATCAGACCGAAACCAGTCGCCAAACGCATAAATAGCGCTGGTACGGCGGTTCGGTGAGGCGAGTGGTTGCTCACAATCCAATACTCACTATGAAGATCACAAGCGCAGCTTTCCTACTTGTTGCAGCAATGGGTTGGTGCGCATCTGCCCTGCCCGTTTCGAGCGGCGAACATGCGCCAGCAGGAATCGATCTCACGCTCCGTCTTGGGCAACCTTCGTCCTCTCAGCCCGGCGTCGCCAGCGACGGTTCTGTCACTGGTTCAAGTCAGATACACGTTTCGTCTCTTCTGCCAGACTTGCATTCATCCGAGCGGGTGCCTGAAACTCACTACGAAGGGGTCGTAGACGAAGGTAGTTCGAGGAGGACTGGTTGGCGTAGAGTCGATCCCGCCGATTCCGTGATCGAAAGCCAGGCGAGACTGCGAAGAACTTGGATTAAGTACATCCGTGAACACCTGGACCAGCCTGTTGCGCCCGTCATCTCGGAGGGCGTGTTCAGCCGGCGAAATGCCCTTCTGTTTCAGAAGCGCTGGCAGCGGCTCCGTCTAGCGAAATTGTAAGCCTCCGCCGTATCTGTGACACCGTAAAAAAAACGAAAGAGCGAGAAACTGATATTTGGTTTCGGTGGCGAAGATCAATGCTCAGGCTGGATGGTGGCCGATCGTTCACTGCGTCGGAGCGAGCAATCATGCGGAAGCGCTTCAAGGACTGGGCCAAGATCGCTGAACGGCTCACTCCTGCCAGCGGCAGTGCGCTGGCTTCGCATGAATTCCAGACGCTGGCTTCCGAAGACTTGGCCCTCATGCTTCGCCTTGAGGACATCCTTCGCCGACATATTCCTCATATGATCCCACCCGCCCGTTGATGAGCGCACACACACTTCTTCTATCTCGACTCAACCGGGTGAAGGCTGCGACCATACAGCTGACCTGCACCAGCTACCCTTCTGTGACAACGCGCTCTAAAATGCGAAACGTATGACATCATGACGAGACGTATGAGAATGAGCGATGCTCCGATAAATTGATCGAAGGAGTTTCATAGGAGACCCCCGCAAGAGGAGCGACGAGGTCTCGAGTTCGGCTCGTTTGCGCATATGGTCGCAAGCCAGGATCATGTGGAAGCATCGAGATTGCGACTTCGTCCAAGCCGACTTGTTTGTCTCATCTTAACCAAATTGAGAGAACTGGAACTCGAAGTTCGATTCCACTTGGCGGGACTTCGAAGACGGTTCGCAGTACCTGCGCCTACCGGAGAACGTTATAAAGAGCATCGTCCAAGCATGACTCGGTACCACATACGTTGTCATTATCACCAAGACGCCATACAAAGATGCAACTCCAAGAGCCCTCACGTCTGCTAGGCCTTATCTTCTGCTGGCTCTACCTCTTGACAGGTGCCATTGGGACCTCTGAGGAGTCCGATGGGGTCGATCTTTCCCTGCGGCTCGGGCCTCGCCCCGCCGCAATTCGATTTCCTCACGGAAACGTCGTCTCAGGTCCTTCTGGCTCAAGCGGTCAGCTTACAGAGGCATCGTCTTCAGGTCAAGCGCAGAGGGAGCGTGACCAGCCAGGCCCCTCCACCAGCTCTAGGCCACTCATGCAGGGATCGGGGGAGGCCTCTGCCATGCGCGGCGTGGGAACGCACATGGATCGCTGGCCAGTCGAGAGTTCGCGTCAACTGATCCAGCGACTGGACGCGCACGAGAACTGGGAGGCGTATACGCGAAAGTATCTAGGCAGGCCGCTTGAGCCTTTTGTTCACGACGGATCGTTCATCCCTCAAAAAGCTATGGAGTTCCAGACGCGCATCGACCTTCTTGTTCGAGCCAAGAGGTAAGTGCTCCAGGCTATCACATGTACATCTTGCCGGGAGTCAACTGACAAATCCATGCTGGGACGTTTGGAAGGGCCTGGGTACGCAGGTATGGTCATTTGATGGGAGACAGGGAAAAGGCGGTCCTACGTCAACCGTTCAGAAACTGGCGTACGATGAGCAGGAGCATCGCAGTCGATGACAGTACGAGTGTTCGTGTCGCGCCCAAGATCGTGTACCGCGCTCATGAGGACCTAGCACTTCTGCGGAGCAAGGAGGACATCCTTCGCCGACTTGCCCTCATGGCATCTTAGTCAAAGTCCTGAGCAGTCATCGATTCCGAGAGCCCTAAAATTAAAGCTGTGGCATTTTGCGCTTGACCTGCTATGATACCATCAAGGCCGTTGAATGAGCGGACGGTCGATGGATGTCTAGTTCAAGGGCCGAATGCACCTTTTCGGGCCTTGCTTACCAGCATCACAAACAAAAAGACTTGTCGGCAATCTTCATCGCTGTGTGCCGTGTCGAGAGGCGTGCAGCAAACGGCCTTCACTTGCGGCTCCGTGCGTTGCGTCGGATTTGGGCGAGCTCGCATGTGAAGAAGAGGTCGATTTGTAAACTCGACCATCAGCCACATGAATGCAAGCTTGCCTGGCTCTGCAAGCTATAAATACTTGGAGAGAAAGCGGTTGTTTCGTGCTCTCAATCAAAGCAACACATGATCAAGAGCTTTGCAAAGATGCGTTTCGCCTTTGCTCTTAGACTATGGGTGGCGGCACTGGTGCTCATGTGCACCTGTGTCGATGCTACAGGAGGCAACCGTGCCCAATACGACGGGCTCGATCTCACCTTGAGGCTAGGGCCTTCATCAGCTTCATCGAGCCAAGTTTCCGACGAAGGTACGACTTCCATCTCACCAGACACCAATGAGGGCCTCAGTGAGGCCTCGTCTTCCCGGTCGTCAACTGTATCGGACCGCATCAGAGGCTTCGACCTGAACGATCCAGACTACAGGACTTTTTCTAGTGTCGGCTCCTCGCAACGCCCTGAGCAAGCATTTCAGGGACACAGCGCTGCCGTGCCGGCACTGGAAGGAGGGCTGGGCATGGCAGATGCCGCAGTGCGAAGGCACGTGTCTGGAACCTGGCTGCAACACAGACACGATCACTTTGTCAAAGAACGCCTGCCCATCGTTTCGGCGGATGGCAAGCTCAGCCCTGGGGGCGCCATGCTGTTCCAGGAGCGCATCAGCGATCTACAGGCGACTAAAAGGTAAGATGCCGCTACAAGAAACTGCATGCTTCCAGGAAGCGTCTGAAAAGGTCGAGCCAACGATACTGAAAGTACGAGAACAATTAAGCCTTATTTTGCAGTCACACAATTGGCCGTTGACGAATGAAGAGCTCAGGACAGCACGTCGACGCTTCCACAACTGGCAAGCTATCGCTGCAAGAATGGCACCCAAGGGCCAACCCGTCAAAGCTTCGTCCAAGGTACGCCAGCAAGCTCTTACGGACATAGAGCTCATGAGCAGCATAGAAGCACTCCTTCACCGCCTCGCATCGTAGGCGCTCAGAGCGCCTAAGGTGCACCCAACACTCTGGACTGGCCTTAGTGTAGAGCTTGAGCCCCGGTATAGCACTGTCAGACCTGTTCTGGGCTCGTATTGACGCAAAATTCAAACGTTGATCGAGCGTTGACTCTTCTGTGGCTTTGAACCTTGCGATAGAGAGTCTCGTAGTGGAAGTAGTGCGTCCAGCGCAGAGACCTACATCCGGCGCGGGGCTTCACTTGTCGAAGCTGGCGAGATAGCTTCCCTTGCCAGCGTCGTTGACTGGACCGGAGTGGAACGGGGTGATCGGCAGCACAGCTGCGATGACCATGACTGCGAGCATCGTGCGAAGCGAGAGTATAGCGAGACAGCTGATCAACAGCATTTTGAACGAGATGGTGGTCGGGAGCTAAACACGCCCGCCCCCCACCATGTCGTGTCTTCTCACGCTGTGCGAAATGAAGCGTGTGGCGCGGACCGCATCAGGCACAGGAACCCACCCTTGTTCCCCTCGATGAAGGCACTGCATCTGAACCTCGCCACTCAGGGAGATGCTCGAATCTGACGCTGCCGATCAGCGGGAGAGAAGGGTGGATGCGATCGATGGAGATGCCAGTCAATGGGATTAAGGAAGGAACGATCTTTGCAAAAGAGTGTGATGCGAAAGAGAGTGTGGAGTGCTAAAAGTGAAGACGACCTACGAAAGCCTTGTGAAGCTGCTTGACCAAGCTTTCTCTTTCCTCGGCGCTGTTGGTTGCATCAGCTACGCGCCTTGCGCCCCTCCAGCTCCTGCTAGTCGAAGCCGCCTCCTGCTGAACGGGAGTCCTGACCTTGCTGCGGGTGTTCTCCCTCGTAGGCGGTTTCGCCTTGGCCCCATCGCTCGCCAGGGGCTCTTCGAGGCCAGGACCAAACGCGAGCTTCCTGACATGATCGAGGTGCTGATCCAGATGCCCGTTCCTAAAAACCTGCACGGCTCGACCCTGGCTAACATGAACGAACGAAGCCCAGTATCGATACAGCGATTCCTCGAACAGCCTCCACTCTTCAGGAAGATTAGCGTACCTCAGCGCGGTAGCGATCTGCGTCTGACGCAGCAGGCCCTTGAGGTAGACCTGCAGCATCTCCAAGTCGAGAAGCTCGGCTTTGGTGGTTCCGTCACGCGCGATCTCTACCTCGGTCGACTGCGCCAGCATGTTGATCGCTCGGATCAGCCGTTGTTCCTTGAGCCACACGTCGAATGGAGGTGGATGAGGATACAGATGCAGTGGATATCGACGAGGAACGTCTTCAATGTAGTGTGCCCGGAGGTACGACTCGGTCCAGAAACCCTCGGGGCCGAGGACGGAGTAGGCATGGCTGGTGCGGAAGCGGGTATCGAAGCCAGAGCGTGCATCGGGCGGAAAGTCGGTGGGAAGCAGCTCGGCACTGCGGTACAGGTCTTCCCTGCCAGCAGGGGGCTGCACGAGAGGCGTGAGGCGAGGAGAACCAGCCACGGCAAAGCTGGTGGCTAGTAGGAGTGCGGAGAGCACCTGGAAGATGTGCATGGTGACCGCAACACGAGGTGGTGGTGTTGGCGTGAAGACAAGGAGCGAGACAAATTGTGCAGCGTATCTCTGGACGGAGCGACGCCTGGGTCGCTGGTGGAAGAAGCAGCACCAGACTTTTCCCAGCCAAGTGGGTCGGTCGAGATGAAGCGGCACATGACCTAGGTGAAGGTGGGCTGATTGGGCGCGAAGCGCGACCGGCTTCATTCTGCCCACGTCCGGCCGTGCATCCTAAACATCCGTATGTCATCGTCCCACATGATACCAGAGGAAGTGAGCGGAAGACTTCGACACCATGGTCGCTTTCGTGGAGGATGGTTGCGGGTGCGGCGTCTATGGGGCGTTTGGGCGCACTTGGACAGGCGGTCGCCGCACGTGCGAGGCGTGTCGCCTTTTTGTGCGCGGTTGACCAAGTTGGCGTCTCGGCTGGGCGGCGGTGTATGCAGGCTGTACGTCAGCCGGGCTTTGTGCACGCGCCTCGGCTCGGGGCTCCAACTTCTGACTGATGCCGCCTCGAGCCGCTTCTTGCATCCACCTCTGAACCCTTATCGCCACTCGTCCGACCACCACCTCCCTATACGGCGCTTTCCGCCTAGACTTCGGCATGAAGACCGCTTCGGGTCACTACGACTATCTCGGCCTGGCGACGTGGTCGTTCTACACGCCCTCACCCTTCCCTCGGCTAGAGCAGCGGCTTTTCCCGCCACGCGATGCACGCACACTCGAAAGCACCGGCCGCGCGCAGTTCATCACGCTGCTGCGTGTCGGGTATGTGCTGGCCGTGGTAATCCCCGTACATGTGGTGGCTGCGTTGTGCTCGCATGCACTCGTGCCCAAGTCGCGGTGGCAGCAGAAGGGGTGGGGCCGAGCGAGGTTTCCGACACGGCTGCCTGGATGGGGCGTGGGACAGACGGTGTGCGTCCCCATCATCGGCAGTCTGTTCTGGGCACTCGTGTACGGTACGCCGAGGGGGATGGGGTGGGAGGAAGAACGCACGATGCCTGCGGCGAGCAAGTGGCTCTTCGGCAGGGGTCACGAGGGGTGGTGCATCGAAGCCGAAGCTGTCGTCCTGCCTCCGCTGCCCACCTCGACGACTGCTTCGCACGCGATGAACGGACACGCAGCTACGAACGGTGTTCGCAAACGCCATCCAAACGGGAATGGTGTCGACCAATTAGCAGATGCAACTTCGCTGCGCACAGACGAGGCGCTCTCGACCGCCGCTCCCGCGACAGCCTACGATGCGTACAAAGAAGCGATCCCAACTGACATCCTCACGGGCGACGTCGCAGGCACCAAGGTCGGCGTGCATCCTACGCAGGTCGCCGCGTTCTGGCAGTGGAAGTCGGTCGCCGCCGCCGTGTCGCGCGGCAAAGTGATCTCGGTCAAGCCGGGCAACGACGTGGCTGGGATCGGGTCTGGCATGGCGGCGTCGCCCTCGGAGCGCATGGTGATGTTCTTCGTCGGCGGCGGCTACCACTCTGGGCACGCGCCGCAGGGCCCGCTCAGTTGGACCGTGTGTCGTCAGACCTCGCTGCGCGTGCTGGGCGTCAACTTTCGCAAGGCCACCAGCGACGCACGTGCGTTCCCTGCGGCGTTGCAAGACGCACTGGCTGCCTGGGTGTATGTCACCAAGCGGCTGGGCTTTCAGCCGCACAACGTCATCCTCATGGGCGACTCGGCCGGCGGCGGACTGGCAATGGCCCTGCAGCTCTACCTCAGTGCGCGGGTGTGGGCGAAGCACGACAAGCCGCGAGAGGGATCGTTGGGTCGCGCGCGCAAACTCGTCTTACACAGTCCCATGGTGGACTTGACGCTGGGCACGCAGGCGTTTACCGCCAATCGAGGCGTGGATATCATCTCGCCCTACATGTGCAGTCTGGCGCGCGACAACTACCTGCGCCACTTCATCCCACTCCCCGGCCGCCCCTCCCCCACAGCCAAGGTGGGAGAGTGCAACATCCAAGCCGTGGCGGAGCGGTACGATCTCGACCCCGCCGTCGCGCCCGACCAGCGCGGCGACGAGTGGAATGCAGAGTTGGCGCGACTCGGCGCAGAGCTCAGCGGCACCGTGGCCGAGTTAGGTGCATTCCATCCGCTCTTCTCGCCGGGACTGGATCCGAGAGCCCACGCGTATCTCGCCAAGGCGCTGCTGTTGCTCACGCCCACTCCTCGCGCCAAGGATGAGCTGCAGGTGCTTGTCACCGCAGGCACCGCCGAGATCTTCCACGACCAGATCCGACAGTTCGTACAAAACCTGCGCGACCTCGAGTGCGATGCCGTCCAACTGAGCCTGGTCGAGTGCATCGACTGGCACCACGTCTTCGCCTTTATGAATCTCCCCGGCACCGTCAAGGCGCAAGTCGACGAAGTCGCCAAGAACTTCATGCTCGCCTAGACACGCCGCCGCCGCCGCCGCCGCCTAGACGCATCGTAGAGATACCCGTACGGAAACCGAATTCATTTATGCCTAGCCGGATCAGTGTGCGTCTATGCTGTGCCTGGCTGGTCCTTGACGACCACACTGAAAGCAAGGTGGATGGATGAGCAAAGTGAGCCCGATGGCAAGGATTCGAGAGGTGGGGCAGACTTACTGGAAATGGCTGAGGCCGGGGACGGTGCGCAAGCTCGGCGGGTTGCAGAACCACGCGGTCTGGAAACGCGATGGTGGCCACTTGGCCTCGATGTACTGCGTCACATGTCTGGACGCCCATGCATGAGCTTGGCTCACGAGCTCTTTCGACAGCCTCCCGCCCGGTGCCTGATTGTGCAGCTTGGCCTGTGAGTGCGACCCGAGCACCTCGGGAATCTGCATCTCCCTCCACGTGTATGTGGGGTTCGTCGGGGTGGTGGGTACAAAGCCCGTGAAACCGCGGATGCCGTCGCCCGTGACGCAGTCGTACAGCTCGTCTCTCAGCGCCGCGTCGAACGGCGAGTCGTCCGTGGTGAAGAGCGAGGGATGCAAGATGGGCAGTTTCGACCACACGACCCAATGCGACGAGCCCGCAGGGATGCCGTACGGCCAGTCGTTGGGGATGGTCTTGACGAGACTCGACTCGGTGTCCGATTCAGCATCGGCGACAAAGTGGCGCAGCACAGTGCCCGCTCGGTTCGGATGCGGCAAGACCTTTTCCGGCCACGTCTCTTTGACCGCCTCGCGCGGCAGCAGCGTTCCATTGGGCGTCTGCACCCCAGACCCCGATGGCGTCGATGTGCCCGAGGACAGGATGGAGGTGGGATCCTTTTGTGGGCGGTCGAGCATGTTGGGTGGTGCCGGGCCAGTACGTTCTTCCGTGGGCCAGCCGAGACGTACGTGGCGGATGTAGTTCTCGAGCCCATCGTACTTGGCACGCACCGCGGGGGCAAAGGCGCGATAGGCAGTGTCGCAGACGGGATCGCGGAAGAGCTGGTCCAGATCGCCGTGCGAGAGCACATCCACCACATACTGCCACGTCATGAACCGGTCGCTCGAACCAGGATCCGGGTTGGGAAAGTACGAGCCGGCCGCACGGTCGTCGACGTACTCCGGCAGATGCCGCGCCACCATCACGTCGGCGCTCGAAGTTGACGCCGCCATGACTGCTGAATGTTGATCAGGAACGGGATGGTGGTGCAGAAGGAAATTGGTGGCGAGAACCCGCTCCGAAGACGTGCGTGCACGCGCCACCCGCGTATCTCCGCCCCTGCCTCTCAACCTCTCCCAAGCCATCTTCCATCCTCAACCCCAACCGCGCAGCCACACTGCCCTCACTCACATCTTCAAAACAGCCACACACTCCAAGACTAACAACGATAGTGATGAAATTCTAGCAAACCAAGCAGGACCGCGTACATGCGCGCGAGTACCCGCGACGAACTAAGAAGACGAAAGCATGTGTGGGGGTGTGGGCGAGTGCAAACAATGCGGGTATTGGCTACTTCGCTACTGCAACCTTTCCATGCGGCAAATGCGGATGCGAATGCAGGAGGAGAAAATCTTAAGCCTGGCTCTTGATGATCGAGGCGGCGTACTCGGCGACACCGTAGATGGTGGCCTGGATGTGCGCGGCGACGTGGAGGGGCATGATGGAGGCGTCGACGACACGCAGGTTGGTGGTGCCGTACACGCGCAGGTTGGCGTCGACCACACCGCCCTGGTTGCGGGGCAGCATGGAGGCGGTGCCGATGGGGTGGTACTCGGTGACCGAGGTGGTCTTGGTGTAGTTCTGCAGGTCGACGTTGCCGGGCCAGTACTCGCCGACGACCATGTCGCTGTACGTCTTGCTCAGACCCACCTTGCGCGTGTAGGCAGTGCCGGCGGTGGAGAGCTCGGTGTCGAAGGGCACCGAGAAGTACTTGGGGTCGATGAGCGGGTACTTGGTCGGGTCGGACGACTGGATGTGCACGTTACCGCGCGAGAAGAGGTGCTGGTTGGCCGCCAGGATGGTGAAGTAGGTCTCGGTGGGCTTGGGCGCACCGGTGCCGGCAAAGTAGCCGTCGATGCCGATGAGCTCCATCTGGCCGACCTTGTCCGGGTAGTTGTTGAGGAAGTCGAGCTGCTTTTTGAGCGTGGCCTTGTAGGGCGCGCGCGACGACTGCACGTACTGCGTCACCTCGTTGATCATCGCCTTGGCACGGTCGGCACCCACGACGCGGGCAAGCGAGACGTAAGAGATCGAGGGCACGGTCTCGGTGAAGATGGAGGTCTGGTTGGCCTTGTACGCAGCCAGCTGCTCAGCAGCGAAAGTGGAGTCGGAGCGGAGCGAGTCGAGCGTCTTGAAGCCGGGCTTGAGGTTGTACACGGTGGCCGAGTAGGTGTGGTCCTGGAGGTTCTCACCGACGTTGGCATTCTCGTAGAGCACCTTGACGCCGGCCTTACCGAGGACGTCCTTGGAGCCGATACCGGAGAGCTCGAGGAGCTGAGGGGTGTTGACGGTACCAGCCGAGAGGATAACCTCCTTGGTGGCGTTGACGGTGTACGACTTGCCGCCGTTGGTGAAGGTGACGCTCTTGGCCCAGAGCTCGCCGCAGCTGGTGTCAAAGTTGACCTTGGAGGCGAGGGCGTTGGTGAGGACGTCGAGGTTGGATCGCGCCTGGTTGGGGAAGAGGTAGGCAGGGGCCGAGTAGGAGCGGGTGTAGTTGGTGGGGTTGATGTCCGAAGGCTGCTGGGAGACGCCGACGTTCTCACCGGCGAGGGGCTGGTCGTTCTTGGGGATGCCGAGCTCGAGGAGCGCGGGGATCCAGCGGCGGACCTGCTGGGAGATGTAGTTGGGGAAGGCGACCTGGATGGGGCCGGAGGAGCCGTAGTCGGAGGCGACGGGCTTGACGCCGAGCAGGTCGGCGTTCTCCTGCGAGGGAGCGTGGAAGCGCTCGGACTTCTTCATGGCCTTGTAGAGGTTGTTCCAGTTCCAGCCGGGGTTGCCGAGCTGCTCCCAGGCGTCGATCTCGTAGCGGGAGGAGCGGTCCCAGACGAGGAAGTTGAGCGCCGAGGAGCCGCCGAGGACGCGGCCACGGGGCCAGCCGCTGGAGGGGACGCCGTTGGCGGGGTTGGCGACAGTGGTGTAGTTCCAGTCGTACTGGGTGCCCAGGTCGGCGCCGAACTGGCCGGGGGTGTCGATGATGCCGACGCCGTAGCCGCTGCCACCGGCCTCGAGCACACCGACCTTGTACTTGCCGTTCTCGGAGAGACGCGCGGCGAGGGCGAGACCGGCGGTACCGGCGCCGACGACGACGTAGTCGTACTGCTTGGAGACGAACTTGGCGGCGTCGTTGGTGATGGCGCGCGAGGCGAGGTGCGAGTTCTCGGCCATGCGAGCGGCCATCTCGCTACGAGGGCTGACCTTGGTCCATGCGACGGGGGTGGCGGCGACGGAGCCGGCCAGAGCGGCGGCGGCGATGATGGTGGTGGCCTTCATTCTGATGGTTGCGTCCTACTCCAGACGATTTCCGAGAGGGATGGGAAGAGTGGAAAGAAGGAGGAAAGGGGGGGGATGATGATGGAAGGGAGGATGGATGAGGAGACCAAGCCGAAGGGGATAAGGAACAGGGAAGACGGGAACGTCGAAGCGAGGGCCTACCCAGAAGTAGAGATATAAGGGAGATGACAGGGGAATGACAGGGGACTGGGGCTTTGTGAGCGAGCGAGGCGAGAGAGGCGTCGAGTGGCGGCGGTGGCGGCGGCAAAGGTGCGGACGTGGGCGAGGCGAAGCGCAAGCGAGCGAATGGGGGATCAGAGGAGTGAGACACGAGAGGGTCCGAGGGTTCAAGCCTGAGGACGAAGCAGGCAATACAGAAGAGACCGAAGCGGATGTTGGACGGACGGACGGTGGCGAAGGAAGCAGAGGATCGCCTTTGGATGCCTGGTTCGGAAGAAGCGGAGCTTGGCAGTGGGAGAGGCGGCGAGGTGGTACAATGGTGTTCCTGTGCGTCTGCCGTGCTTGCATCCGCGGACGTTGAATGGACGCACCGGCGAGTGCGGGCCGTGTTGATGAGAAGGCCAAGATGCTACCGCTGCGGTGCACACGGTGATGGTGCTGCGGCGCGGTTGAATAGCAACGGCCAACAGCGCTCCGGTTCATTTTGCATCCCAAAAGCGACGAGCCCGCATCCAATTCTAGCCAGAGGAGATCAACAGCAGCAGCGGAGCAGAGCCAAGTTGCCACCCCAAGCCATGGCCTCGGCAGAAGGCGAAGGCAGACGATGCGGCGTAGAGTGCGATGCAATGCACCTCGCGCCTTGGAAGCGAGGCCGGGACCGCATGAGCAGCGTCGGCGCTGTTGCAACTGGTGTGCAGAGCGGCGGAGTCGAGCCGATCGCACCCTCTCTTGCTCTCTCTTTCGAGGATGCAATCTGCAATTCACGGCTGCGCCCAGAACATTACCTGTCGACTGTCACTCGAAGCCCGCTGCGTCTTGAAGCTGAAAAACGTGGGAGCATTTCGCACTCCGTTGGCGCCATGAGAAGGCCAAAAAAGCAAACACGCCACACACACACTCACTTCCTGCAGGTCGAGTCGAGGCATGCCTGGCCGTCGCTGTGCCTCCGTCGGCCCTTCCGTCAGTACCTCGTGGAGGGCAAAAGACTCCAGAAGCATTCCGCCGCAGTCGGTTGTGCCGGCCAAGTTCACACGTCGCTCGGGCTTGGCCGCCGTCACGTCGTGTCGCGACCGCACAACGCGACCGTGTGAGACATTCACCGAAACCTCGACCCTGATCCCCCGCCCGCCATCCAACATTGGCTCTGCACTTGCCCCATTGTTTCATTGCTTCATTTGCCCCAAAACAGCGGTAACGTCAGCCATGGGAATGCAGCGACGGATGTTGTTTTGATTGGAGCCGTTAGCACAAAAGCATCATGCAGCTTCAGCATGGTGGGCGCACAGGTGGCGGAGGCGGAGGCGGCTCGCTACAGCAGGCACGCTGCAGTCCCAAATGACTGTGGCAAACGAGCCCGAGCAGACGCCAAAACAAGGCCGTCGAGAAAAATTTCGCGCCTCGTCGCTCACCTCGGGCTCGCTTAGTGCAGCGCATGTCGAGCCGCACCCAAGCGAGGTGGCTGCGAATGCTTCTTTTTCGGAACTGGCCGCTCTAGCGGCACTCGAGCCTCTTGTTTCGCGCCCCGGCCGCGGTGGGAAAATCGCCTGGAAGAAAAATCGTCTGGGATTTGACGGCCCGATGCAGCGAGGCTGGGCGCAATCCCAGTCTCTTGGGCCATCCAATTTTAGGGCGCAGAAAGCATGAACTCCAGCCTTCGCAGGCGTCGTCCGTGCGCAAAGAGGGGGGATTTCCAGGGTGGCGCACTCGACATGCCAGATCCGTGCCCCGCTAGCTGCCCCGCCTCCAAGATTGCGCAACGCCGATCCCACGCAGCCGTGCCCACTAGAGCTCCGTCTTTTTCTTCCGTTTTTGCCCCGCCCTCTGCCTCCGCGCGCGGGGACAAATGGCCACTCTGTGGCGCCCAAGTCCCATCGTGGTGATCCTCCCGCCCGTTGCGGGTATGATCGGCAACGCCGGTTGCCATCGATCTCGAGTGGATGTGTGGCTTGAGCCACTTGAGCCAAACGCAAGTCGTCCACCGTGGCTTGGGGACTGTACGGGCGAGGGAGGCTTCGGATGAATCTGTGAATGTTTTGGGCTACGAGACACCTTTGCAGCAGAGTGTGGGAATCCCCGTCGAACGTTCAACAGGCGCTCAACAACAGACCCAGCCAAGAAGCACAAAAAGCGAGCAAAGTGCAAACCTTAAAAAAATTGCACGCCACGCCACTATGCCGACTCTGTTGTTCAGCTCCTCTCTCTTGATTCGTTGCGGCTCCTACCTCCGAACCGATCGCAATCTGCCCAAGTGGAGACCGATGCGATTGCAGTTTTGGCAGAGGCAGGAGGGGACGTGGCGTGCGGGAATGGTCCCCTTTTGCAGTGCGGGCAGTGCGGGCAGTGTGGAAAAGGTGTGAGACACTTCGGACCATTGTTGTTCCCTGCCTCGTAACTGTCACTCACCTGAGTTCATGTAGGGTGCAAGAGACACAAAAACGCACTAGCCTGCACAGATCCACTCGCCAACGCACCTCCCGATCTGGGTATACAGGTACGACACCGTACCTGCGCCTTTGCACAGTTCACCATGCATGGACCCACGCTTGTCTCTGAGCTGTGCATGTTGAATCGATCGGACATTCGGACATAGCGTAGCCTCGAGCGGTCACAGGCAGCGCAGCGTCGCTCCAATTGCCGTCCGCTTTTGGCTTGGATTTCGGCTAGAGACCTTGAGTTTAGGCGATCAAAAACGGCTCCAGCCCAAACGTCGAGGCGAGGCTACCCCTGACAGAAGTCTGTTGATTTAGCGCTGTGTCCACTGCTCTTGACAAAGCTCACCATGCTTGTCTGGCGAGTTCACATGGTGCGCATGATCGCCGAGCCGGTGTCCAGCAGCGTCATCCGTAGAAGTTGGAAGCGCTGCACTTGGGCGTACAGAATCGTTGGTGGCTTTTCATCCTTCGCCTTCCATTCGGTCCCGCTCGCCGCTCGCCGCTCGCATGGGCTTTTGCTTCCGCCTCTTCCTTGCGGATAGGGCGGAGATCGGTAGGAGCCCCGCCGATGATATCTGGAATGTTATGCCCTCATGCCAAACAAACAAAGGGAAAGGTCTGGTGTTACGCCTCGAATTATGACACTTTGCTCATTTTCACCAACTGCCTGTTTCGGCCGCACGCTGCTGCTCGCTAAGCTCATGCGGAGCCCCTAAAAGCGCGTCTGTGGCAGCTGTCCACCTTCGCTCCACCTCTTTCGTCCTTGTCCGACGGTTTTTTCCTTTGGGCTTGGACCCTGAAAGTAGAATCCACTCAGGGGCTGCTTTCACTCTCCGGCGCATCACCCTGCAGCTTCCTCCTCCTCCTCCTTGCTCAGTCTCCCGCACAACTTGGCCCACGCCTCGCTCTGCAGTGGCGATCAGTGACGCTTCGACGCTATGCAGCGCACTGACAGTCGAAGCATTCGCATCGTGCCTTTGCTCGTTTCGCAGGAACACAGTGCGCCAAGTGGGAGATGCTGTGCGAAATGAGGACATACGCTAGGTGGGCGTTGGCGTCGAAGGCCGACATCAACACGCTCGCAGCGTAGATGCACGCCAACACGGCGGCGCTTTTGTCGGTGCAAATCGAGTGCCGCCTGGACTCCGTGTCTGTGCTCCGACGACTCCTATTCTCCGCCTCCTTGCCTTGTCTAGCCGCCCCCTCCCCTCCTCAGGAACCGCTTTCTTCTGTCCAGTAACGAGTCTTGGCAGCAAGCAAGACAATGCCTCCACCTGCCCATCGTCTTCCCCCTCCCATCTTGTCGACTTCCTCATCACCCTCACGACGACGACGTCTCTTCCTGTCTTCCTTTCCGTACCATCCCGCATGGCTCGCTGATCTTCTTCATCATGTCCGTCCCGTGGCAACGCTGACCTCTAACGACGCCGACCTCACCTTCGACATCCGTACGCACAGCTGCTGTCGCTCCTAGGAGCCGACGGTCAGCCTGACGGGAATCGCCCATCATGGTCAACATGACATGCCCCACGATCCCGGACAAGCCTGCCGATCCCAAGCCTTTCTTCGAGAATGGACAGATCGACTTCAAGGCGCACGACGTCGGTTGGCTCGTGTGCGGCATCATGGCGCTCGTCGCCACCATCTCATCCGCCTGGCTCATCTGGAAGCACCTCACCTACTACACCTGTCCGCAGCAGCAGCGCCACATCGTGCGCCTCCTCATCATGGTGCCCATCTACGCCATCGTCTCCTTCATGTCCTACCTCTTCTATCACGAGGCGCTCTACTACCAGACCATCCGCGACTGCTACGAGGCCGTGCTCGTCACCTCCTTCTTCTACCTCATCCTCGCCTACACCGGCGACACGCGCGCAGAACAGCACGCCGTATTCCGCAACATCGATCTCGGCGACCGCTTCTGGGTCTGGCCGTTTGGCTCGTGGAAGTACCGCCCGGACGGCCTCCACTTCCTCTGGCTCATGAAGATCTGGGTGCTTCAGTACGCCATCATCCGGCCCCTCTGCACCTTTATCGCCGTCGGCACAGAGTACTTTGGCTACTATTGCCTCCACAGCTGGATGCCGTGGTTCACTCATGTTTGGTGCGCCCTCTTTATCAGCATCTCGGTCAGTGTGGCCATGTATTGCCTCATCCAGCTCTACATGCCCGTCCGCAAGCTCGTCGACCCCTACAAACCAATCCTCAAGTTCCTCTCGATCAAGACCATCGTCTTCCTCACCTTCTGGCAGGACACGCTGCTCTCGTTCCTCGTCAGCTTTGGTGCCATCAAGGAGACCGAGTACTTCACCGCCGAGCAGATCCAGGCGGGCATCAATGCGCTCCTCCAGTGCTTTTGGATGCTCCTCTTTGGCTTTATCCACATCAAGGCGTTCAGCTACCTGCCGTATCGCCCCGAGGACCGCTCGCGCACCACGCTGCGCGGCAAAGCGCTGCTCGACTCGCTCGACTTCCGCGACTGGTTCTGGGAGATGAAAGAGAGCACGCGCTACATCGCCGCACGCTCCAAGGGCAAGAACTACACGCTCGCGGAAGACTTGCGTGCCAAGCGCCACGAGCATCTGCTCAACGCGCTCGGCAAACAGCGCACCGCCAACCTCGAGGCGGAGATCGACGTCGAAAAGGCCAACATGCCCACCTTCTGGAAGAACCCCGAAGACGCACAGTTCTGGTCGCCACACTCGGAAGAGACCCAGTCGGCCTTCGACTCAAACCATCGCTCCTCCAAGACTTCCTCTCGTCCTACTAGCGGCTCGACCGATGCCTATTCGGCGCTGCCCAATCCAGTCGCAAGGCATTCTCGCACCAGCAGCAAGCTCGCTCCCTCGCACGGCCAACGACCGACGGCGGCCGACTCGCACACGATGAGGGCGGCAGAGCTGCAGAGACTCGTGGCCGAGCTCGATCTGCAGCAAGTCGATGCGTCGACGGTCCTTGCTGGCGGACGGCGTGACAATGATCTCGAGGATGGAAATCACGAACGCACTGCACTGATGCACGATGGGGCGGGCAGTAGGGAGAAGGCGCATTCCAACGAGGCAGACCCGTATCCGGAGCTGACGCAGTACCATGCGCCGACCATTCAGCTGGCCAATGTGCCTTCATTGAGTTACGACGCCGACACGCAGTCGAGCGGCGCGCGCAGGACGCTCGACCTGAGCGCTGTCGCCGAGGAGGACGAAGACGAGTCGCATACGCGGCAGCCATCCCGCATCGCGCCCGGCGTTGGTGCGTTTGGCATTGCAGCATGGCTCGGCTGGAACGGCAATCCCGCGCCGCAGCAACAACAGAATGCGTTCTTGCATCCTGGAACCGCAGAGCAGCAGCACGGCATGCCGTCGCCCGAGGCAGATGGAAAGGGCTGGTGGCGCAACTACTGGGAGCGCGTCTCGAACCCGGGCAGCCGCGAGCCATCCATCGCAGGTATCGACGACGAAGAAAAGGAGCCGCTCACCGCTGCGAATCGGCCAGCAGTCATGCGTCAGGTTACAGCCGGATCTTGGGGAACCGACAACGTCCTCAGCGATACCCATCCGCCTCAGGGTGAGCAGCAAGACGGAGTGAATCATCGAAGTTTGCCTCCGCTGCCGCCTCTGCAGATCGACACTGCCGGGCAGAGCCGTGATGCGCGCCGGGCCGGGAGCTCCGACAGTGCGACGTCGCCATCGTCGCGCATCAGTCCGCATGCCGATTCTCCGCTGTCTCGCCTGATCCAAACGTCGCGCGACTCGTTCAGCTCGCTCAACCGCGACGAGATCCGCGCGCAGCTCGACGCTCCACCATCGCGGCCACGGCTCGCTGAGCCCATCGCCAGCAGGCCCGGTGAAAGACGCGAGGTTGGACCTGCACCGGCAACTGTGCAGAATGTGGCACCGGCACGACCGGCGCCTGCACCTCGACAGATGTCATTTGCACCATCGTCCAAGCAGGCGAGTGTGAGTCGGGTCACGTCGACGACGCGATCGGGCGCAAACAGCAGCAGCAAGCACGCAACGTCGGTGTACGAGTCGGCCGCATCGACGGCTGCGCGCCAGATGGCCGAGGAGATGACGACGTCTGCCGACTCCAAGCACCGCATCGTGTTTGCCGATGCGCTGGTGCCCGACGAGCAGCCAGCGGAAGAAGCGGCGGTGGTACCGGCGAAGAAGACGCTGCCTCCGGCAGTGGGGCCCAAGGGAAAGCTGTTCAGCCTCGTGCTGCCTTCGCCGCTATCGCCTGCGCGCTATCCGTACGGCACAGAGGGCCCAGCACAGCCAGTGCTAGCATCAGCACCAACGGCGGTAGAGCCTTCAGCCGTGCGTCAGCCATCTGCTGCAGCGAGTGCGTCGGTGACACAGGCGGGGGCGGGGGGATCGTTGAGGTGGGCAACACAGCCTGCTAAGCCGCTCAAGCCTAGCGAGGAGCGTGCGCCTGAGCCTGCGCCCAAACTCCCCACCAAGGGTGTCATCACCGTCGGTGGAATGAGTCTCGCCCAGGCCAAGGCACAAGCTCAAGCAGAAGCGCAAGCTCAGTCTCAAGCCCAGGCGCAGGTGCAGGTGCAGCGTTCCGAGCGGGGTGCTGAGCCTAGCAAGCGCACCGAGGGAAAGTTGGTTCTGCCAGCTCCATCGACCATGGCGAGAGGTGAGGCTGAAGATCCCTATCGCGCTGGTGCACTCGCACATACGCCACAGCGCGAACCTCAACGCGAGCCACGACGTGCGGTTGCAGATGGACGCAGCACCACCACTGCCGCCACTCGCACATCCATGAGCACAGCCTTCGAAGTCGGATCCATCGTCCCCCGCCATACCACACACCAACAACATCCCCCGCTCAGCGGATACTACTCGTCAGTAAGACAGAATTTGCAACCTGTGCAACGATACCCGCACCAATATCCCCAGCCCCAACATCAACACCAACCTCATCCTCAACCCCAACGACAACCCCACTTTCGGCCTCAGCCTCTGCAGCAAACCCAACACCAGCAAAGAGGCAACGCTGCAACCCAGTTCCACTTTGAATACTACCGCGACTAGATCGCACGCCATGTCCACACCGTCACGCACCTGTTCACGATCGCAATGCAATGATACCATTCTTCACCCCAACACTTGAGCAAAATTTCTGGTTCATTTTTCGTGACCTTTTTTTCAATTTTTTTTTCACTCGTCGTCCGGAGGCCGGACGGGGCGATGACACGACGCACACATATGCGCTGTCGGCTGCGATGTCGGGACCACCCTGAACGAGGCCGTGAGTGGACGCATCTCGTCGCGCCGCAGGAGCTGGTCAAACAGCTGCAGTCGCGACGGCTCGCGCCGATCAGACGCGTTCTGTTGCCGCACCACCCACCGCGGTCCGGCCGAGATCGCACGGATCAACGCCGACAGCCGGTCATCGTCGCTCGAGTTGCGGCTGAGCCGTCGGGGGCGCGGCGTACGATCGCCAAGGCTATCGTCGTCGTCGCCACTCACACCACCATCATCATCGTCGTCGTTGTTGCTCGCACCGCCACCGTCATCGTCACTGTTCGTCCTCCAGTCGTCGACGTCGTCGTCGCGCGATGACGAAGAAGGCAAAGACTCTGCATCGGCAGGCGCGAGCAGAGGCGACGGAAGGTGCGACAACGCATACGTGCCAATGTGCCGGTCGTGCTGGAAGTCGAGTTCGGCTGGGGCGGGAGAGGCGTACATCGGATCAGTGCGCATCGCGGCGAGAAAATCGTGCACCGTCCCGTCGTCTGATTGCCCGTCGGCTTCGGTCCCGTCCGTACGGCTCGCGCTTCGCCCTGTCGGGTCAGCCCCACTGAAATTGCTTCTCGACGTGGATCCGATGCCGCTGCTATGACCTTCGTCGTCGTCGTCATCCTGGTCGTCATCCTGGTCGTCACCCTGGTCGTCATCCTGGTCGTCATCCTGGTCGTCATCC